TCATATTTTTATTGAATCAAGTCTAAGCATCTTTGATGCAATGATTAAGACAGTTCTTCACTACCCCAAACTTTCTTAAAATACTTATTGCTTTACTTTTACATTTATATCATCAAGCTTGCAAAATTTTCAAGCTACCATTTTCATAAGACATTAAAAGTTTCTGCTATTTATATTGTTGTTGTTGTCAGGTGCCATCAAGTCATTTCCAACTCATAGGGACCCTATGCAACAGAACTAAGCACTGCCCAGTCCTGGGCCAACCTCACTATTGTTGCCACGCTTGAGCCCATTGATGCTGCCACTTGGCCAATCCGTCTCGCTGGGGGTCTTCCTCTTTTTCTCTGACCCTCCACCTTATCAAACATGATATCCTACTCCAGCAACTGGTCCCTCCTGACAATATGTCCGAAGTATGAGAGACGAAGTTTAGCCATCCTGGCCTCTAAGGAGCACTCTGGCTGTACTTCTTCCAACACGGATCTGTTGGTTCTTTTGGCAGCCCATGGCACTTTCAATATTCTCCTCCAACACCATAGCTCAAAGACTCAATTCTTCTATGGTCTTCTTTATTCATTGTCCAGCTTTCACATGCACATGAGGTTATTGAAAATACCATGGCTTGGGTCAGTCCTCAAGCTGACATCTTTGCTTTTCAATACTTTATAAAGGTCTTGTGCAGCAGATTTGCCTAATGCAATACATTGTTTGATTTCTTGACTGCTGCTTCCATGATGGCTGATCCAAGAAGAATGAAGTCCTTGACAACTTCAATCTTTTCTCCGTTGATAAAAATGTTGTCTAATGGTCTAGTGGTGAGGATTTTTATTTTCTTTACATTGAGATGCAATCCATATCAAAGGCTACGCTCTTTGATCTTCATCAGTAAATATTTTAAGCTGCTTATCTGCTCAATATATTTATGTAGAAAAAGAAATCAAATATTAAACTCAATTAGATTTGCTGTTTCTTTACACTACCATAGTCATCATTTAAAAGTGGGAAATTGAAATATGTCAACTGAAACTCCATTTCTGGAATTTTTCTTTTGAAAAATTCTCATTTTTACACATAGATGTGCTTATGAAATGTTGAGTAAAGAAAGCATTACTTGAAAGTAGAAATGAGAATTCAGCAAGGAGTCCTGGTGTGGCAATATAGGATAAGCACTGGACTGCTAACCGCAAGATTAGCAGACAAACCCAACTGTTCCTCAGAAAACTTATGCAGGTTTTTTTTATGAATCAGAACCAACTTGAAGGTACTTTACACCAATAACAAGGTAAACTGAATAGAAAACTTACAACTTTGGAGCTTCTTGCACCCTGCTCAATTTACATGACTCACTCTCAATGCCTCCCTCCCACCTTTGGTTTCCGTACTCCCTCTTCCAATCCCTGTCTCCCAAGATGGTCTGCACTCCTCCCTGGTGCACCATCAATGGCTTACTGGCTGCCTACCCACTCACTTATCAAAGTTTATGTCTAACTTGTTGTTGTTGTGTCAGTACCGACTCATAGTGCAGCTGGTGGGTTTCAACTGACAACTTTGTGGTTCACAGGCCAATGCTGATCCTACAACACCACAACAGGAGTCCTACCTAACTGATATAGTCTCCATAACATTCCACAAACAGCTAGAGACCGCTTATAGTGAAAACAACAAAAACACAATAAAATATAGCTAAACACTATTAAGAGACTACACTTGAAAAATACAGAATTGGAAATTAAGTTATAAATATGCTATTGAATGCTTAGAAAGCCTGCAAAAAGAAGTATAATCAATTGCATATTCCTCATAGTCTAGGAGGAAGAATCTTATTGGTTTCCCTGAGGAGTTAGTTCCCTCTTACACTTGGCTCTAGGACAAATGTTTCCCTTGGGGTTCCATATGCCAGGAACTGGGTAGATTCCTCTCCCAACACAACCCTAGGATAGATGTTACTCTTTGTACACTCCTTTGATAGAAGGTAATATCATAATTCCAAATATACTACACCATTCAAATAATTTTCTGCTATTAGCTAGGTCTCAGTAAATATTCCAGAATATCAGTTCTAACTAATGTGTTAGCGTATTAAAGCAGAATTCATAATGGACTCATATTAACAGAATTCTGAAAGAGTTTTTGATACAAAGCATAAGCTTTTCTATAGCAATGAAATGATTCTATGTAGTAATGCAAACATCAAGGTTCTAGAAAAATTAACAGAGAAGACTTTTATTTAAGAGTTTATCTACTTGCCCCAATACCTCAAATAAACCTTACTAGCATCAGCTTTGTCTAATAAGATAAGAAATATCCAGAAATAAGTTGCCTGTGGAATGTTTTCTTGTTCTATTGTGCTGGCAGTTCTCTAGTTCTTTCTTCACCTTACCTACACTTTTCTTCACCTTACCTACACTTTTCTTCACCTTACCTACACTCTTCTTCACCTTACCTACACTTTTCATGCTTCCCCAATTTTCTTGAAACATAGTTCCATTGCATCAATGTCAACTCCCTATTACTCAACTAAATTTTGATTAGGCAATTTATTTTAATTTGTAATTATCTGGAATATTAAAATCCTTGTTATGTAAAGATAATTTTATTGTAGAGCTTTGTCCTCATGTGCCTGAAAAGTTGATTTCAAAATAGTTATTTTTCTATAGTATAACAATACTAGAAAATTATTGGAGTAAGTCAGTAATGCTCATTAAAATACTCTGTTTCACCAATTTACAATCTGACTCTAGAAAAGTGGATGTCCTCCTCTGTTTACCCCTAAAATAAGAAGACTTGGGATAAGTCACCTGTGAAATCCTATGAAGCTTTAATGTTCCATTTCCTGCAATGTTTTCATGTGCCCTGAACAATAAAGCTCCTCTACATGCTATGAGGATCTCTGTGCATCAAGAATAAGCTGCAGGTCTCCCAGAGTTTCCAGAAAGAGTGCATATGAAAGCCTGAATCTTCTCTTTCTTTAAGGACAGGGCTAAGATCAGATAATCATGGTACTCAGTTAACTTATTGTTGTTGTGTGCCGTGGAGTCGGTTCTGACTCATAGTGACCCTGTACAGGGTTTCCGAGGCTGTATATCTTTACAGGAGCAGAAAGCCTCCTCTTTCTCCTGCGGAACAGCTAGTAGTTTCAAACTGCTGACCTTGCGGTTTGCAGCCTGATTCGTAACCACTACGCTACCAGAGCTCCTTTAACTTATTAGGTTCCATCAAAATAAAATAAATAAGTAAAATATTGTGTTGATTAGATTCCAATTCACATAAACTTTATGTGGGACATAATAGAATTGTTCCAGAAGATTTTCTATGCTATAATCTTTATGAAGCAATCACCAAGTTTTTCTTTTGCTTAGCTGCTGGGTGGATTTGAACTACAGTTAGTTTGAGTCACCCACCTTCCTCGCTTAGGCTTTTGTTGTTATTGTTGTGAAGTAGTTACTTTGCTATAGTTATTTGTTATAGTTACTTTGCTATAACAATGCTAGAGAATTATTGGTGTTCAAGTCAATCACGCTCATGAAAATACTCTGTTTATAATTTATAATCTGATTTATAATCTGATTCTAGAAAAGTAGCTGTCCTCTTCTGTTTACTCCTAAAATAAGAAGACGTGGGCTAAGTCACCTGTGAGTGAAGCTTTAATGTTCTGTTTCCTACGATGATTTCATGTGTCCTGAACAATGAGGCTCCAATACATACTATGAAGATCTTTGTGCACCCAGATTAAGGTCCAGGTCTCCCAGTGTTCCGAGGAAGAGTGCATATGAGAGTCTGCATCTTCTATTCCTTTAAGGAGAGGGATAAGATCAAATAGGCCACTGAATTAACTAATTTTGTTGTTGTTGTTGTTGTCATCAAGTCAGTTCTGACCCACAGCGACCCTGTATAGGATTTCTGAAGAGCAGCTAGTGAGCTACAACCACCGACCTTGCGGTTCAAACCAACTCTGCAGTTATTGTTGTTGTTGTTGTTAAGTGCCATCGAGTCGGTTATTAGGTTCCATAAAAATAAATAAATAAATAAAACATTGTGTCTGTCAGATTCCAACTTATGGCAACCTTATGTGTTACGTAGCACAAGTGCTACATAGAATTTTCTAGGAAATAATCTTTACGGAAGCAGTCACCAGGCTTTTCTTTTCCTACACTGCTGGGTGGATTTGAACTGGAATTAGTTTGAGTCACCTAGCTTCCTCACTTAGGCTTTGCTTGTCATTGTTGTGAAGTGCCATTGAGTTGGATTTGACTCATAGCAACCCTGCATAGGGTTTCTGAGGAGCAACTTGTAGGTTTGAACCACCAACCTTGTGGTTTGTAGTCCAGTGCTTATCCTACAGAGCCACTTACCTAACCATTAATTCCAATAAACTACTGCATCGTCAAAGTGGTTCTCTCCTCTGGCAGAGTGCACAAGTAGAAGGTCCTCTGAGATCAGAAAACTGATTTTTGTTCAAATTATTGATTTGCCACTTATTAGGTCTGCAATTACACAGCTGTGGACAAGCTATTAACAGCTCTAAACATATTTCCCAATGTATAAAATAAAGACAATCATAATCACTCTATAGACTCCACAGAGATATCATGAGGACCAGAAACAAGATGAGATGTTGTACATAACAGCCTTCGATAAAGTATAAAGATTTGTAGACATAGGAAGAAGTCAGTCTTACAGGACAGAAAATATTTCATTGTCACAATGAACCACAGTTCATTCATCTCCATCTAGTAGGAAGAACATAGAATCCTTGAGTATAATGGTTCTTCCTGTCAACCCACAGTATTTCCAATAAGGAAGAAGAATGGTCAAAGTAAAGAATTTACAGTACACAAAGCAAAAAGCTCTAGCCCAGCTTTTCTGAGCAGTCATGATCATTTGATGCATAGAAAGTCTTATAGTAATATATTATAATGATGTTACTAACCAATGACATCATAGTCTTAACCCTAACATTTCTTCTCCCAAGGCACACTTGAAAGAGGGTCTTCCCCACCATGAGCCAAGGCAACCACACCAATGTGAAGGAGTTTGTCTTCCTGGAACTCACTCGCTTTCAGAGGCTGGAGTGTTTTTTGTTTGTGGTCTTCCTTATTGTGTATGTAACAACGATATTGGGCAATGTCCTCATTGTGGTCACCGTCACCTGTGAGTCTCGCCTGCACACTCCCATGTACTTTCTCCTGCGCAACAAATCACTCCTGGACATTGTTTATTCATCTGTCACTGTCCCCAAGTTTCTGATGACTCTTTTAACCAAGAAGAAGACCATCTCTTACAACGGCTGCATGATGCAGATCTTTTTCTATCACTTTGTTGGTGGGGCAGATATTTTTTCCCTCTCTGTAATGGCCTATGACAGATACCTTGCAATTGCCAAACCCCTCCACTATGTGATTATTATGAGGAGAGAGGTATGGGTGACCTTGGTGGTGGCTTCCTGGGTGGGGGGTGGTCTGCATTCAATTGCTCAGATAATTTTGTTGCT